GTCAGGGCGCGACGGTCCGCGTCAGGCGGCGAGGGCGGCGAGGGCGGCGGCGTTTCCTGCCTCCATCTTGGGCGCCGCGGCCGCGGGCGGAAGGTGGGCTGCTGGGCGCGGGCGTCCCTGCCAGCCCCGGCTGGCTCTGCCCGCCGCCGACGGTTGGGGAGCGGTGCGAAAGGCCGTGTCGTCTTGCCTTGAAATGGACTCGTTGATATCAGCCGAATTGATACGGAGCCCTTGGTAGGAATTGATGAATGTGGAGTCATTGGTAGCAAACGTATTGGTGTGGACCCGTTGGTAGGAACTATTTTGATGGGGGCCTGTTGGTAGGAATTGTATTAATGTGGAACCATTGGTAGCATCCATGTTGATGTGGATCCATTGGTAGGAGCCATATCGATAGGGACCCGTTGGTTGGATCCATGTTAATGTATTAATATTATTACATTAGTATAGAACCATTGGCAGGAACCGTATTGACAGGGACCGATTGGTGGGAATTGTGTTAACGTGGAAATGTTGATAGGAGCAGTATTTATGTGGACCCATTTGTAGGAACACGTTTCGATGTGGACCCACTGGTAGGAACCGGATCCCTGTGGACCCATTGGCACGAATTGTGTGTAGCATAGATTCATTGGTAAGATCCACAGTAACGTAGATCTACTGGTAGGAAGCGTATTTCTATGAACGGACTGAAAGGAATTTTATTAATATGAATTTATTGGTAGAAACCATAACAATGTCGACCCATTGGTAGGAACTGTATTGATATGGAGCCATTGATGGGAAAATGTTGATACGGACCTATTGGTGGAAATTATATTAATATGGATTCGTTGGTAGCAAACATATTGGTGTAGACCCATTGAGAAGGCCACCACTTGTCTGTCATTGTGTTATACTGTGGTGGCTTGTGTGTTGCTGTGATGCTGGAAGCTATGTCACCAGTATTTCAGATACCAGCAAGGTCACCCATGCTGGACAGGTTTCTGGAAAGACTAAGACTAGGAAGAAAGGCCTGGTGATCACTTCCAGAAATTAGTCGATGAAAACCGTGCAGATCACAACAGAACACTGTCCACCGTAGTGCTGGAAGACGAGTCCTCTAGGTTGGAAGACACTCAGAATACATGGTGGACACAACAATGGACTGGAACCTGCCAACAGTGGTGAAGATGGGGCCAGACTGTGCAGTGTTTCTTTCTGTTGTACACTGGGTTGCCATGAGTCAGAGCTAACTTGATGGCACCTAATGACAGTAACACTGGCAGGAGCTGTACTGATGTGGACCCGTTAGTAAGACCCATATTGATATGGATTCCTTAGAAGGAACCATATTGATAATGAACCTATTGGTAGGAACCAGAGCATTACGGAGCCAGCAGTGACCATCTGTGCTCCGTTAACTTTATAATCCATTAGTTAACTGACTTCTCTGGTGAACCAGAGTTGTCTGTGTTTGTTAACATTTCAATACGGTAGAGTTTCAGTTAAACCGTTTTTATTAAGAGTGAACTGAAATGAATCTAACAAGGTAAATGAAGCAGATTGCAATGGTTTCTTCACAGGAAACATGTATTTCTGGGAGGACACCCTGGGGGTGGGAGGGGGGATTCGTATATATGTACGAACGTAAGTGCTTTTTATGGATGTAGAATATTTAGGAAACTATTCAAACATTGGTGTCGTGTGTCGTCGAGTCGATTCCGACTCTAGCAGACTCTCTAGGACAGAGTAGAACTGCCCTACAGGGTTTCCTAGGCTGTAATCTTTACAGGAGCAGATTGCCAGGTCCTTTCTCCTACCGAGCAGCGGGTGGGTTCAAATCGCTGACCTTTCGGTTAGCAGCTGAACGCGTAACCATTGTGCTGCCAGGGCGCCTTGTATTCAAACCTAGGCCTCACAATAATAACCTATTTCATGTTCAGCTGGGAAGGAGGCTGCTCGAAGGTCTTCTCAGAGCCAGAAGATAAGTTCAGGTGAACTGGGGTTGCCTGGGTGAAGCCAGGCTGGGTACGTATGGAGGGCGTGGTTAGGACAGGTGAGCTGGTGCCTTTGCCGCACCTGAGGAGGACGTGGTTAGGACAGGTGAGCTGGTGCCTTTGCCCCACCTGAGGAGCACGTGGTTAGGACAGGTGAGCTGGTGCTTGTGCCCCACCTGAGGGATGCTGGGCTGCCCAGGGTCTGCCTCTTCTGATGCTTTTCAGGAGAAGCTGGAAATTTGGGTGTTTTGATGTGAACTCTAAACTTTCAAAAAGTTGGCAACAAATTAAAAGTTTTCGAAACACTGTGAAGGTCAAAGAAATCGTGCATGTGGGCCACTGGTTTGTAACCTTTGATACGTTTCCAGCAGTACTTTTTTATCAAAGAAAAATATTTTTTATTAGCCCTGAAGACATGGAAAGCCAGATATTTGACTCTGATGTACTGGCCGCACAGTAACATTTTTGTTTGTTTTATTGTTGTAGTTTAAGTGAAAGTTTACAATTCAAGTTAGTCTCTCATACAGAAATTTATATATACATTGTTATGTGACTCTAAACGCTCTCCCCATGCTGTGAAAGCACTCTCCTCCTTTCCACCCCTGATTTCCTGTGTCTATTCAACCAGCTCCTAACCCTCTGCCTTTTCATGTCACCTCGGGACAGGAGCTGCCCATTTAGTCTCATGTATATATTTGAGCTAAGAAGAAGCACGCTCTTCATGAGTATCATTTTATGTCCCATAGTCCAGGCTAACCTGTGTCTGAAGAGTTGGCCTCAGGAATGGTTTTAGTGCTGGGTTGACAGAATGTTGGGGGGCTATGCTTTCTGGGGTTCCTCCAGTCTCAGTAAGACCATTAAGTCTGGTCTTTAGAATTTGAGTTCTGCACCCCACCTTTTTGCTGCTCCATCCAGGACTCTGTTGTCTTCCCTGTCAGGGTGGTCATTGATGGTAGCTGGGCACCATCTAGTTCTTCTGATCTTAGGCTGATGAAGTCTCTGGTTTATGTGGCCCTTTCTGTCTCTTGGGGTAATACTTTTCTTGTGACTTCGGTGTTCTTCATTCTCCTTTACTCCAGGTGGGTTGGGACCAGTTGATGCATCTTAGATGGCTGCTTGCAAGCTTTTAAGACCCCAGATGCCATTCACCAAAGCAGGATGCAGAACATTTTCTTAATAAACTTTGTTATGCCAGTTGACCTGGATATCTCCTGAAAGCATGGTCCCCAGACCCCCACCCCTGCAACTCTGTCCCTCGAAGTGTTTGATTGTATTCAGGAAACTTCTTAGTTTGGTTTAATCCACTTGTGCTGACTTCCCCTGTAGTGCGCACGCTAACGTTTTTGTCTTGTTTTTGTGTATTTATGCTTAAGAGTACTATTTTAAAGACATTTTTCATAATTTATTGACTTCAAAATTAATTTGGCTCAATTCACGTTAGTAAGGAACGTAAACTTTGGTGTTGGAACTGGGTTGGGGTCCCGGCTCCTCCACTTTATTAACTGGGTGAACTTGGACAAAACTTAGCGTTCCCAGTCTCCGTTTCCTCCACCACAAATGGTGCCTGGATCATGCTTACCCCCTGGAGACGTGGATCAGAAGCAGGGGGCATGATATAGTACCTGCTGTGCAGTTTCTTTTGTGTATAAGAATTATTGTATCAGGGACTTGAACTATTTTCTGTGAAGTAAGTGCTGTGTGTTTTGAAAATTTAACATAGTTGCCATTGGAGAGGCAGGAACTCAGTTTTCTGCATTTACACAAGGTAAGGCTCTGGGAGGCAGACCCCTCCTTTTGGCAGCTTTTGGTGGAAGTGCGACTTTCATGGCCTTGCCGAGCTCACCCTCATGAAAGTATAGGTACCCAGGTAAGACAGCTGGACCGTGAAAATCAGCATGATAAAACTAGTTATCATGGAGTTGATTCTGACTCATGGCAACCCCATGTGTGTCAGAGAAGAACTGTTCTCCATAGCGTTTTCAGTGGCTGACTTTTCAGAAGTAGATTGCCAGACCTGTTTCCAGGGCTCCTCTGGGTGGGCAGGAACCACCGAGAATCAGCAGATAGGGACATACCGTTTCAGATGCAAATTTCAAGTGGTCTTTATTCATGGTTTTTTTTATTTTTAATTTTTTGTTTTGAAGCCTAAATCTGGAACACCAAAGTCGTGCTCGTAAAAGAGAAATTATATTTTAGAAATATTAAGTATGTCCGTCAATGTAAATGAATCCATTGTTGCAGCTTTTCTGGCTAGAAAGCATTTAACGACAGTCCTCTGGCGACCCTGGCACAGGCGGGCCGCTTCAGCAGCTAGAAAGGGTTCACGTGTGAGCCCCCCATGCCCCATGAAGACATTCTAGTAGATAGCTGCTGAGTTTAAATTGGGATAATAATAAATGGCTCATAGCATATGAGGACGTTCCACATTTTTTAGTACAGATGTTTTTTTCTTGATTTTTAGACATTGCTTTTTTCTTTCGTTGTCAGTTTTCTACACCTCTCTAAAGCAGGAAAAGGAAACTATTTTCTCGTCCCTAGTATGTAATCAGGACCCCTGGTGGCATAGTGGTTAAGAGCTCAGCTGCTAACCAGAAGGTCAGAGGTTCAGCTCCACCAGCTGCTCCACGGAAACCCTATGGAGCAGTTCTGTTCTGTCCTATAGGATCGCTATGAGTTGGAACTGACTCGATGGCACCTAGGAAGTATCTAATCAAGTCCTTACGTGTAGGCGTCTTCTACTTAACACTTTTAGTCTGTTCTCTGTAGTGAAATTACTGTGTATTTCCTAGTTGAATGTTCTTTTGGTTGTTTGGCTCTTGACGCTTTTCCCTTCCCCTTCTTACCCCAACTTGCCCGAGGCCTGCATTTTGGGAGCCTGTCCTCACCAGCTTCTGTGCCAGGGGTTGAACAACACACTGCTCCCTGTGGTCCAGGCTGGCTTTGTGCGGGGGAAACAGACAAAGATGAACCAGTGGGCTTCTGCACAAGTGTCTCGCGGTTCCCACAGTTTCTTCTTGCTGCTTTTTGTTTGAGAATGTGCCTTTTCTAGACAGTCTTTAACAACTTCACTCCCTCTTCAGAGCACCTGCATTTCTTGGTTTCCTGGATTTTTGCATCGGGGATTAATGATGAGAGATGCGCTGTCATTTGTGACTGGTGGCCAGAAAGTCATAGCTCTTTCTTTTCTCCCATTGATCTGCCAACTGATACCCTTCCCTGCTGACTTAGAGTTGCTTGGAGATCTGTCTTCAGTTA